AAGTGACAAGCCTCCATAAAATTTCAGGAAAAAGTGGATATTACTGGAAATTAAAGTACTCAGAGAACACTTGCCATGTATGATCTTCACTAAACCAATCAACAAATCTTAGTGCACAATAATTCCTGAACAATTAAAATTTAAATGTAAAATGAAACTATAAGTATTTTAGAAGCAAAAATGAATGAAACTTTTTATATCTCTGAGGTGGGAAAGGTATTTCTAAGTTTGACATCAATGGCAAAAAGCATTAAGAAAAAGCAATATCATTGACTTCTAAAAAAACTGTAAACTATAATATGGCCAAAAAGTCCCCCAAATATTAACAAACCAATTAGGAAAAATATTTGCAGTCTACAGAGAGCACTTAGCACATGAAATGCTTCTGCAATTGCAAAATGAGCAAAAGTCATGAAAAGACAATTCACAAAACACAATGTTCGGTAACCACATAAAAATGTTTGACCTTGCCAAAGAAATACAAATTAAAACAATGAGATACAATTTTTCACCATTAGATTGGCAAAACTTAATTTACAGATAACGCCAATATTTGAAAGTACGTATACAAACCAGCACTCTCATACATTCTTCCTGGAAGTATCATGGGATTAGTTTTCTATTTTGCAATATGTAAAATCCTTTTAAAAATGCATACCATTGGACTCAGCAATTCCACTTCTGGGCATTATCCTAAGGAAATAATAATTGGAGAAGTCACAAAGATGTATTGTAGCATTGTTTATAATAAAGAAAACTTAGAAAACTTAATATGTATAGAAAATAGTTAAATTATATTGTATCTACACAGTGTAATATGCTACCATTAAACACGATAATGATCCTCCTTTGCTGGCTTTGAAGAAGCTGCCATGGTGTGAGACAGTCAATGGAGAGGACCCCATGGCAAGGAACTGAGGGGGCCTCTATGAGCTGAGAGCAGCCCACCTGCTGACAGCAAGAAAACAGGAACCTCAGTCTCCAGCTGCAAGGAAATGAATCCTGCCAATAACCTGAGGGAGCTTGGAAGCAGATGCTTCCCCAGTCAAGTCTCTGATGAGACTGCAACCTGGCCAACACTTGGATTGCAGTCTAGCAAGAGAAACTGTGAGGTAATAAATATATGTTGTTTTAAGACACTAAGTTTGTGGTAATTTATTATGCAGAGCTGTCTATGTAAAAAATAGTTTATGAAAAGGATAATGATATGATCTTGCTTAAAATCACATGTTTACATAAATATTCATAGAAAAATGTCTTGGACAATATAAATCACTATGTGTATTCCTCATACTTGTTTGCTTTTTTTAAAATTTATTTTTTCAATAAACATGTATCATATAATTGAAGATAAATATACTCCCATTTTATCCTTATTTTTAAATTAAATATAGTTAATATACAATATTATATTAGTTTTGGGTACACAACATAGTTATTCAGCATTTGTGTACCTAAGGAAGAGATCACCACAATAAGTTTAGTAACCACCTGACACCATATGAGGTTATTGTGATATTACTGACTATATTCCCTATGCTGTACATTATATCACAACTTATTTGATAACTGGAAATCTGTGCCTCTTATTTCCCTTCATTTTTTTCACCCTTCCCCTACCCTCTTCACCTCTGGCAACCATCAGTTTGTTCTCTGTCTCTGAATCTGTTTTGTGTTTTATTTTATAGATTCCACATATAAGTGAAATTATCTGGTATTTGTTCCTCCCTGTATGACCTATTTTACTTAGCATAATACTCTCTAGGTCAATCCATGTTGTCACAATGGCAAGATTTCATGTCATTCTTTTTTATGGCTGAGTAACGTTCCTTTGCATATCCATTCATCTATTGATGGACATTCAGGTGGCTCCCATATCTTGGCTATTGTAAATAATGCTGCAATGAACATAAGGATGCATGTATCTTTTCAAACTAGTGTTTTAGTTTGCCTCGGGCAGAGACCCAGAAGAGGAATTGCTGGGTCATACGGTAGTTCTATTCTTAATTTTTTTTAGGAACCTCTAAATTGGTTTCCATAGTGGCTGTACCAATTTGCAATCCCACCAACAGTGCAAAGGGTTTTCTACAAATCCTTGCCAATATTTTATTACCCTTTTGACACTAGCCAACCTGACAGGTTTAAGGTGATAATCTCACTGTGGTTTTGATTTGCATTTCCCTGACGATTGGTGCTGTTGAGCATCTTTTCATGTGTCTGTTGGCCATCTCTAGGTCTTCTTTGGAAAAATGCCCACTCAGATGCTCTACCCATTTTTTAATTGGATTGTTTATTTCTTTCTTGATGTTGAGATGTATGACTTCCTTCTATATTTTGGATATTAACCCTTTATTGGATATGTAACTTTCAAATATTTTCTCCCATTCAGTGGGTCACCTTTTTGTTTTGTTGATGGCATCCTTCACTGTGCAAGAGCTTTTTAAGTTAGTGTAATCCTATTTGTCTATTTTTGCTTTGTTGCCCTTGTCTGAGGAGCCATATCCAGAAAGACATTTCTAAGACTGATGTCAAAGAGTTTACTGCCTATGTTTTCTTCTAGGAGTTTCTAACTTCCAGTCTCACATCTAAGTCTTTAATCCAGTACTGAAATAAAAGTTCAGCGTGTGGTTGACCATCCCAATAGTACCTATATCAGATGTTAACAAGGAAACCAGTAATGTGGATTAAGTTTCATTAGTCACTTGCGTAAGTGTGTGTAGGCCCTTGAGCCTAATAGTACCCAAGGCACAGCTATGTCTTATAAGTAAGTCCCAAATGTTTTGGTTAAAGTACACTTAATCCATTGCTTTGTGTGTAGCTGGTGTTAGAAAGTGAAGCAAGTTCGGTAGTAGCTTGAACCAGAGCAAACAAGTTGGAGCTACATGATGTCACAATAGGATGTTTTCAGTGATCTGAAACACTTCTGTGCTGTGTGTTATTTTGGAACAACCACTGACTGTGTGGTTCCTCCATTGCATGACAATAGCTATGGGGGTGGGGGTGGGGTGTACCTTTTATTCTCACCTCTTCTTATCCCCAGCCTAAAGGATTTATGAGAATGTTCTATCAAACACTGGTTTATAAATCACGACCTGTGTTTCTCAAGCAATAACCCTATCAAGAGAATATAAACTCAGATATCCTCTTGAGGTAATCTTTTTATTTTTCAATTATAGTTGACATTCAATATTATGTTACTTCCAAGTGTAGAGCATAGTGGTTAGGCATTTACATAGCTTATGAAGTGACCCCCCCCCCCCATAAGTCTAG